GCAAGGCAGAGAGCCTGGTTAGCATAGCTCACACATGGCAAACTGTGGCCATGGACTGGAAGACTTGTGTGTCTCTGGTCCACGTGACAATCTGTGCCATAGCTTACTGCAAGCTATGATTTAGAGTAATGTATCTATTACCTCACAATTCTGGAAGGCAAGCGTCTGCACTCACTGGGCTCAAGGTGTCTGTGGGACTGGCTCCTTCCAGAAGCTTGCAGGGTGGGGGTGGGCCCCATATCACTTCTGTCCTTTGGGGCTTTGAGCGGCCACCAGCATTGTTTGGCTCATGGCTTTTCCTCTCCAGCACCTGTTTCCACCTGTGCATTCACTAACCACCTCCCTCTGATAAACACCCTTCTGGATTCACTTGGAACCCCTTGGATTCTATGTCATATAAGGTCACATATTCCCAGGTGCAAGGATTCACATATGACTATCATGGACCATGATGCAGCTGACCACAGTGCATTTTTCACATTTCATAATCAGACTAGGTTTTCTTTGTTCTTTCTTTTTATTTGTATGTTTCTGTTTCTCTCTCTCTCTCTCTCTCTCTCTCTCTCTCTCTCTCTCTCTCTCTACCAAATTAGTGTGGCATCTGGGCTTTTTCTTCATTAAATAAATGGTAGATGGATGCATAGATAGATAGATAGATAGATAGATAGATAGATAGATAGATAGGTTGATAGATAGGTTGATAGATAGCTAGAAGGTAGATGATGAGTAGATGGATAGATAGCTGATAGATCAGAAATAATGAAGTGGTACTGATGACCAGCTTTACTGACTGTCCCAAGTCATTTACAAGCATTACTTCTGTTTGTCACTGGGCAATGTGATGAGACGGACCTGTAAAACTCTTGTTTTACAGGTGAGAAAACCGAGGCATAGAAAGGCCATGCAGTCATGTGTCCAAGGGCCCATAGCTGAGAGTAGCAGAACTGGGATGGGAACCCATGCAGTCCGATGCCTCAGCCCACTCTTAGTGACATGAACATCTGCCCAGGTGTGCATGTGCTCACATGATGCCAACAGAGGCCTCACAGGGAATCATAAAGATGTCAAGGAACTAACATCAGGTGGCCAGGCCTCTGCGGTGCCATTCTGAGGGGCTTCTCTTGGACCAATGCAGGGAGCTACTCGTTGTCTGTTCGAGACTACGACCCCCAGCACGGGGACACGGTGAAGCATTATAAGATCCGGACACTGGACAGTGGAGGCTTCTACATCTCTCCGAGGAGCACCTTCAGCAGCCTACAGGAACTTGTGGTCCACTACAAGAGTGAGTCCTGCCCAAGGCCTTGCCCCCACATTTGACGGCAGAGCCTAAGCTGGTCACCACTGCACAGTGCAGCCCAGCTGGGGTGCTATCCCTAGCCACAGCCTTTATTCCTCAACACCTTGGCTGTGTTTTACAATGGTTGTCTGGTTCTGGGGAGGGAACCAGAGTCTGGCACATGATAGGCAAGTACTGGGTCACATCAGCCCCCACTAAGAAGGGCCGGTCTCTCAGAATCCCAGTCAGTCACGTGGGATTCTGAGTGACGACCTTGAGGCACCCGGAGGTCTTCCTGTCCTTGTCAGGTGAACAGTCACTCGGGGCAGTCCTGAAGGTCTGGGCGTGTTGGACATGGAAGTGGAGGCACACGGGTAGCATCTCATCATGCTCTGTTCTTTGGGGGGTGTACCACCTGCTGAATGGGCACTCTGTTTCAGAGGGCAAGGATGGGCTCTGCCAGAAGCTGTCAGTGCCATGTGTGTCTCCCAAACCCCAGAAGCCATGGGAGAAAGATGCCTGGGAGATTCCTCGAGAATCCCTCCAGATGGAGAAGAAACTTGGAGCCGGGCAGTTTGGAGAAGTGTGGATGGGTAAGGAGATGGATGGGGCCAGAGTCTCCAAGGCTGAGAGGGCCCTGCCAGTGTGGGAGAACACACATCAGAGGAGATTTAAATAATAACCCCAAAGGGCCACTCCTCAGATAACAAACCAAATTGTCTCCTGGGAAATCACTATTTTGCCTTTGCGGCCAGGCTTGAGGGTCAAAGAACTGCCCTCTAGGAGGCCGGAGTCCTGGATGGCAAAGGCCCTCTGTTGTGTGGAGTTGGCCAGCCTACCTTCTGGAGCTGGCATAACCAGCTTCTTGGGATGATGGGGGGGAGGGGTGATTAAATTGTTAAAAAGAAAGTAAGAGTAATTTAGTGATCTAGGCCTATAATCCCAGCTACATATTGAGACAGGAGGGCACAAGTTCAAGGCCAACCTGGACAACTTAGTTAAGACCCTGTTTCAAAATAGAAAGTGAAAGGGGTCTGGGGACGTAGCTCAGTAGTAGAGCACTTTACTAGTATGAGGCCCTGGCTCAGTCACTGGTTGTGAGTGTGTGTTGGGGGTGAACTTGGTGGAAGACAAGGACAGAAAAGTGGGCATGGCCAAGTCACACAGGGCCTGTGGGGCCTAGTGAATCTGGTATTTGTTTCAAGGCAGAGTTAAACACTGTGCGTGCAGGCTCCTGTCCTGTGGGAGCCCATTTTCAGGTTCCTCGTGGCTTTACCCAGCAGGTCTGCATAGAGAGGATGATTGGACCACGGGCCTGAGTGCAGGTGTCTGAGATGTCTGCACTTGACTGTGCTGGGGGGAGGGGGGTGTCTTTTGTGCCACCCCTTGGCGTTTCTATAAATACCCTAGGGCAGAGACTGTCAGGGCCCGTTGGAATAGGTTCAGGCCCTCTCGAGGCTATCCTGTATTTTCTATCTGCTTATCTCCACACTCTAAATCCTTCTAGCTAATATTTCCTGCTGCTCGCACTCAAGAAAACTCTGGGGAACTGTGGGGGTGGTGGGTAAACGCCCCACAGTGTCACAATCTAATTAGTGCTTTAAGGGTTACTACCCATTATTACCGTTATTTTACAGTGCTGGGGATCAACCCCAGGGCCTTGCACGTGGTAGGCAAGTGTTGTACCACTGAGCTCCAGTACCAGCCCTTGTTTTTTGAGACATGGGCTGGCCTGGAGCTGCCAGCTCTTCTACGTCACAGCCTTGGGAGTTCTAGGGTGACAGGTGTATGCCCCAGGCCTAGATACAAGGCTGTTTTTCACTCTTGCAAAGAGCCCTTCAGAGTGAGTGCTTATTTTCATTTCCACCTGGCAGATGAGGGAAACACAGGCTAGAGAACTGAGGTCATTTGTTCAGTCGCTCTCGGCTAGGAAGCAGGGAACTGGTCTCCAGCCCGCAGCTGGTGGTGCCCTCTCTCTGTCTTAAAGGACTAGGTGGATGGGGAGGGTTCCTCCAGGACTGCTGGATCCTAACCCCCAGCTCCTTGCTCTGTGCTTTCTCCAGCCACCTACAACAAGCACACCAAAGTGGCAGTGAAGACCATGAAGCCAGGGAGCATGTCTGTGGAGGCCTTCCTGGCAGAGGCCAACCTCATGAAGACGCTGCAGCATGATAAGCTGGTGAAGCTGCATGCTGTGGTCACTCAGGAGCCCATCTTTATTGTCACGGAGTTCATGGCCAAAGGTGCGTGGGCTAGGAAGGACTATGGTCCAAGCAGACTTCTTCTTTCAGACTCAAAGATGACCTTGACCTGGCTCTTCTGGCCCTTCCGACAAGTCCTCGAAAAGCACCGACAGTCAGTCTGGCCTGACTCTCAGAGTGAGACCATGTGAAGGGTGGTTATGGAGAGGAAGGGCAGGGGCTTCAGAGCAGGGAGCAGGCAGAGCCTCTGGGACAACAGAAGAGGTACATGGCTTCCTTGTGACTTGTACCTTGGAACCTTGGTACTGGACCGTAATGAAGCCCTGCTTGGAGTACTAAGGGACAAGAAACCACACGGAGAGAGACCATAAAGATGAGACATCATCTTGAATGTTCCACCTCTATCACCTCACTTCACAGTGTGGTCCACCAGGCCTGTTATGACCAATGCACAGCATCATGGGAAATGTTCATGTTGTCACTCCAGGCTACTAAGCTTTGGGCTACCCTACTAGTGATCATTCAGCATATCTCAGGAATGTTTGAGACAGGCTTTCACTCTGTAGCCCAGGCTGTCCTGGCACTCACTATGTAGCCCAGGCTAGCCTCAATCTCACAGCAGCTCTCTGCTTCAGCCTCTCAGGTACTGGGATTATAGCCTCACAAATGCTTGTGTCTCCACACCTGGCTTTTCCAGGTTTCTTTTTTAATTGTTATTTATTTATTTATTTATTTATTTATCTATCTATCTATCTATTTATTTATTTTAAGATAACTGTTCTATAGTCATTTTCAGCCCCTGCTCATTTTTGGATAAACATCTCACACAACATCATCCAATGTGACTTGAAATGTCAAAACCTTTTCCATTTTCCAAATCTACAATCAGCCAGTTTTCTAAAGCCAGGCCCTGGGCACCAATCTCATGAGTCTACCTCAGTTAAAGAGTCCAGCTGGCAACCAAAGAGTCCTTTCAGAGAAATCCAGGCTCTGCACTCCGACACTAGGAGCAGTAAGTAGCATTCCTAACTCCAGCACTATGGCTGGGCAAGAGGAAAGCTGGTAGTCATGGCTATTTTGCTACCTGAAGTGGAAAGATAGCTGGAGCCCAGAAATTAGAGATCAGCCGGACAGTATAGCAAGGCGCCATCTCAAAAAGAAAGTCGGCTGGAGATGTAGCTCAGTGGTAGAGCACTTGCCTCTCATGTGTGAGGTCCTGGGTCAATCCTTGCACTACAAAGAAGAAAATCCTCTAGCGCTATGAGAAAATGTTAGCTAGTTTTCACTAAGGTCTGGTAGACAACGTGCCTTCTCCATCCCCTCTGCAGGAAGCCTGCTGGAGTTTCTGAAGAGCGCAGAAGGTAGCAAGCAGCCATTGCCAAAACTCATTGACTTCTCAGCCCAGGTGAGCCTATGCCAATGATGGTCAGGAACGGTGACCTCACTTGAGCGCTCTGTGTCTATTATGTGAATACTTATCCCCTCCACATGCACATGGATTGTTCCAGGACCCCACAGATACCAAAACCTTCTGTATGCTCAAGTCCCTTATAGAAAATCGTGTATTTACAAAAAAACCTAGGCACATTCTCCTGTGTACTGCATACTGGAGGCTTATGGAATCCGACATAAATGCATGTAAATAGTTGTCACGTTGTATTGTTTAGGGGATGATGATCATTTTAAAAAGTCTGTAGAGACAATGCGGATGAAATTGTTTTTAGAATATTCTTAGTGTCCGGTGGTTGATTCTGCAGATGCAGAACCTGCAGATATGGAGTGTTCTTCATATGGACCAATTCATATAGAGCTCACATCAAAACTGTGGAATGGGTTTTTTAGAAAAGATTTATTTTATTATTTTATGTATATGGGTCTTTTGCCTGAATGTAAGTCTATGTGCCACATGTATGCCTGGTGCCCTCAGATGCCAGAGGAGGGCATCAGATCCTCTAGAACTGGAGTTACAGATGGTTATGAGCCACCCTGCAGCACTGGGACCCTATCCAGGACCTCTGGAAGAGCAGCCAGTGCTCTTATCCACTGAGCTAACTCGCCAGCTCCTGGAATAATTTTGTTGGTTCGTTGGTTTTTGGTGTGAGGCATGGAACCTAGGGCCTTGTACATACCAGAGAAGGGCTCTGCCTGTGAGTTACATTACCAGCTGTGGAAGTTGTCCATTCCTTATGTAACAGACCACCTCAAGGCTTAGTAGTCTGAAATAATAACTTTGAATATTTCCCATGATTCTCTGGACCGACTGTAGCGGGCTAGGTGGACCACTCTGTGAACTGAGGGGACGTGAGTTAGAATGTCCAAGGTGATCCTTATAGTCTCTCTCCGTGTGGCCTCTCATCACTCAGTATTTTAACACAGCTTCTTCACAGCCCAATATCAAAGCTCCAGGAGAACCCATTCAAGGAGCAACTGGGGCTTAAGCCTCTGTTTGCACTGACTTGTCAATACCCTGGTGGCCAAAACCAGTTGCAGCAGCCAGAGTCAGAGTCGGTGCAGGAGCAGAGGGATGAGTCCTGGCAGGCAAATAGAGCTTGGTCACTGGAAGGTAACTCATCCCATTTTACAGCCCTGAAATTGAGGTATAAAGACTTAAGTATGAAGGGCACGGTGATGAATGACTAATCCTAACATTCGGGAGGCAGGAGATGGGTGGTCAGGAGTTCCAGGCTAGATGATCTGAGCGGCAGACTGTCCTTAAAAAAAGTTAAACTCGCCGGGCGGTGGTGGCGCATGCCTTTAATCCCAGCACTCAGGAGGCAGAGGCAGGCGGATCTCTGTGAGTTCGAGGCCAGCCTGGGCTACCAAGTGAGTTCCAGGAAAGGCGCAAAGCTACACAGAGAAACCCTGTCTCGAAAAACCAAAAAATAAATAAATAAATAAATAAAGTTAAATTCGAATGAGGAAACTGAAGCCCAGGGCTCTGCAGCTGGCCTGGGGCTGACTGGGGGAGGGGCAGTGCAACAATGATGGAAGTGGCTGACACTGCTGGCCTCAGGCAGGTCGCTTGCAGGTGAGACCATGGGGATTAAACAGTGGGCTCTCTTGACCTACCACCCCATGGCCCTGGCTCACAGTCTGAGGAGCAAGAATCCAGCAAAGAGAAAGGGATACGTAAGCCTGAGGGACGCATCCTAAAACCCCATCCTTATTTAAAAAAATAAGCACAACAAAAATGACTCAGTGGTACAGAGCTTTGCTAGGTGCAGGGCACACTGGGTTCTATTCCCAATGCTGTACAAAAAAGAAAAAGAAACAGTCTATCTCATCTGACACACACACACACACACACACACACACAGCACAGATGTTGTTTTGCTCTCGTGCTTTCTGCTCTCTGTGAGAAAACATGGCAGACAGTGGTGCTATGGGGATGCATGGCTTGGTCCAGGAGCCGTCCGAGAAGGACCACCAGGAAGTGGTCCCTAGGAGGAACCTGGGCATTAGAAATTCTGCACATGCAGAGGAGTAGGAAGGAGGTCTAGACAAAAGAAACAGCCAGCACAAAAGCCCAAAGAGAAAATGAAGGGGCTGAGTCTGGTCAGGAGGAACACAGATGAAAGAGATATGGCGTGCAGCCTGCTGGGAGCTGAAGGAGTCTGCAGTTTAGCCTAGGGTTGAGCCTGGTGGAGAGGCCCAGGTCAGCGCTCATTTGAGTATGCAAATGCCCGGGACTCAGAACCACTAGCAAGGTCTAAGCAGAGGCTCTACCTTCAGAGCCCTGAATGTCAGAGACATATGGAAATCGAGGCCTGGCGCTTCCGTCTCAGTGGGCCCCAGTCCTCGGGAAAACAATAGTGTGGCCTGTTACTAAAGTATAACCATCAAACCAGCAGGAACCTTGCTGGACAAGGGTCAAAGGCTGCAGAAGGGGCTATTGTTGGGGCTGGGGTCATAGCGGAGTCAGTAGAATGCTTGCCTAGCATGTATCAAGTCCCAGGCTTGATCCCCAGCCCCACCAAAACCAGATGCAGTGGTGCACATCTGTAATCTGAACATTTGAGAGGTGGGAGCAGGAGGACCAGACGTTCAAAGTTATCCTCGGTTATTTAGTGAGTTCTAGGTCAACCTGGGCTACATGAGACCATCTCAGAAAATAGAGCCACACGCCCCCTGCTTTACAGCTGAGGAAATCAAACAAGGCCGGAAAGACATTCTGGTCTTGGTACACCCAAAAGCAGAGGTTGATTCTGAGCCCGGGGTGAACAGGATACTACCTGGGGACCTGGCTTTGTGACCTCGGTCCTACTCTGCTTCTCAGTCTCCCTGTCCAATGAGGAAATTGCATCACAAATGTAGTTTTCAAGTTTGATATCTGTTTTTACTCCCAACTTTATTGGTGAGATAAAATTTTATATAGTAGATTTTTTAAAATGTCTTAAGAGAGCTATTCCTGGGCTAGAGAGATGGCTCATCATTTAAGAGCACTGGCTGTTCTTCCAGAGGACCCAGGTTCAATTCCCAGCGCCCACATGGCAGCTCACAACTGTCTGTAACTCCAATTCCAGGGGATCTGGCACCCTCACACAGACATACAGGCAGGCAAAACATCAACGCACATAAAATAAGAATAAATAATTTTAAAGAGAGAGAGAGAGAGAGCACTATTCCCATTGAAGTTGGCAGAGAGCGGTCTTATTTGTGATCCTTCTTCTGTCTGACCACTCCTAGACAACCTGAGGACAAGTCCTGGCCTAGGCTGGCGATGTAGCTCTGGGGTAGAGTGCTTGCCCAGCACACGAGGTCCTGGGGTTCATTTCCAGCAGGATACACATAAACACAAAAGGGCCTTGGATTAGACTCTGCTTACCAGTTCTTCTGGGACTCCCTCATGCTCTCAGAAGCAGATCCAAAGTTCTCCTGCCTGACCTCATAGGGACCCGCCTGGTGGTTTTGAAACCTCATCCGCTCATCATCATCAAGTCTCAGGGGCACCTGGACCCAAGTCACCTATCCTTACATAGTTGACAAACATTTGAGAAGCAGCATCCCACCAGTGTGGGGTTTGAGTGACATGTAGGGTGTATGGGTTGGTCCTAGCTCTGCCGGTGAGGCTCTGAGCAAGATACTCAGCCACTCTGTTGGCATTACTAGCCACTTCTGAAGTGACTACTATATGGAAGACACTGTCCTTACCTGTGGTACAAGCTTAGAGGGTAATCTCCCTATGAATGCTGGGAGAAAGGCTTGAGGTCACAGAGCTTGGGGATCAAGATAAGCTGGACCAACTCTGGAGCCCTTTAGCCATGATGCTCCATTATCTCCCAAGTGGATTTGGTTTTCCTGCCCCCGTTGAGCTCACTTAAGAACCACGGACATAGGAGTGTCAGCCAGTGGGAAAGCACTAGACACAGAGGGTGAGCGGACTCAGCCAAGCCATAGCTCATGACCCTGGTTCTGGATCTTACGTGCTATGTAGCTATTGACTCGTTATTTACTTCTCTGGGCTTTCATTTTCCCTCCTGTGGAAAGAGATAGCAAAACTACCTCCCCAAGTCCATAGTAAACAAACAAACAAACAAACATTCTCTGTTTATCAGTTTATAGTGAATAAGCTACATTATCATCCTAATAATTTTTGCAAACTAGTCTTCTAAGGATGCCCTATAAATTTCCCATACTCTCCAGGTTAAAACCCAGCTCACTCCACTATAACCTCTATTCCAGACAAAATCACTCTTGAGATTGCAGGCTGAAAGTTGGACCTGTTTCCACTGCCTTTGATGCCCCCTGCTGTTCATTCTTTAAAAGTGCACTTCCTAGTCCCTTCAGGCTTTGATTAGACTCAGCCACCCTGGGTTCCCCAGATAGTCTCGTCTGAAAATTCAGTTCTGGGCTACCTAGAGTCAGCCTGGTTTGATGCTGATATTTGGGGCCAGTATCTCTGTGAAATGGATATGATGGTCTACCTTCACAAAGCTCTAAGGTAGTTTTATAAATTGTACATGCTGCTTTCTGGACAACCAAGATTCATCTTCTGCCTCTTCTGGCCTAACCTTTGTAAGTAAGAAAATCTCTAAGTCATAGCCATGAATCTTTCTACCAGAAGCTTCCAGAATAAGAATTCTCCACACTGGCCAAATGCCATGGCTGGCCAACTCGGCTGCCGTCTCGGCTGAGATCTAGCGCTTTGAGTTGGTCTATCCCAACATCTACTCCATCTATGAGCTGCTGGAGCATGTGGCGGAGTTGGTGCTGCAGAACCAGATCCAGGAGCACGTCATAGCTATAGAAGATGAAAACCGGAAGCATAGCTCGGATGGAAGATGGCTGTGGCCTCCAGCACCCGCTGCAGGACCATGGAGTAGCTCTGAGGAGCCTGAGAAACCCATGGAGGCTCACAGGGGAGACACATCAGTGCAGGAGGAGTCTGCAGAGTCCACGGTATCTGTGGAACAACTTAAAAAAGGCAGGTCCTATGGGAAAATGCTTTTAAAGAGTGGACTCAGGAAACTGGAAGATGGCAGAGCAGAGCCACACATGGAGAATGACGAAACTGAGACACAGAGATGAAAGGTACGGGAGCAATGTGGGAGAGTACCACTGCTGCTTACCCTGCTGGGGAAAGTGTGTCGGCCGGGTGAGCCTCTGGCCTGCCAGCATTGAGAGCAGGGAGGTGTGCAGTGGACTGGAGTTCTCTTGGATCCTGCCCCTGGATGCTCTGCCTAGCCACAAGATCTTCCTGACTCTGAGCAACAGCCGGATATTGATCAAAACAAGTCTCAGTGATGGTCCAGTATTTATGGTGCTTCAGAAACCAGATACCTTGAATCAGATCAATGACTCATTGCAATGAATATTTGCATGTAAAGTTGTTTGAAATATATATATATATATATATATATATATATATATATATATATATATATATATATATATAGTGTGTGTGTGTGTGTGCTGTGTGACACACTGCAGTTTTCAATGCCACTTCGACAAACAAATATGTGATGGATAGGTGCGGAAGAGGGAGAAATGGAGCAGCACATGCGTGATGGAGAGAGGCAGAAATAGAGATGTGACATTGGTGACAGACGTGGGAGAAGGCTGTGGTGGACAGGGCACAGGGGAGCATGTCGTTGCTGAGTAGGGCTGACAGGGTGGTGTGCGGCAGCCAGGAGTTTGTGCAGGCTCTTTTCCGAACACATTGCCCAGTGGCACAATCGTCCTGGCTCCGAACAGCAGCAAGATGTCCAAGATGAAGAACAACTCATTCTCTGGATTGGACCTCCTGGAAAGACCCCCATCATCCATGCTGCCCCAAGAGGCCTTGTCAGTATCCATGGTCCATGCTACAGTGGAGGACATGCTGGTATCCGTGGTCCATGCTGCCACTCCATCCATGTTGATGCCCGAGGTCCTTGTGAACGTCTGTGGTCTGTGCTACCACTGGAGGCCATGTTGATGTCTGTGGTCCATGCTACTGCTAAGGGCCATGTTGATGTCCATGGTCCACCTGCATCTGGGGGTTGTGTTGATGTCTGGCCCATGTTACCTCTGATGGCCATGTGAGTGGTCTATGTTGCCACTGAGGGCCATGAGGGTATCCATGGTCCATGTTACGGCTAAGGGCTGTGTTGATGTCTGTGGTCTGTGTTACCACGGGAGGACATATGGATACCCTTGGTCTTGGCTGCCACCCAAAGCCATGTTGATATCTGTGGGCTGTGCTGCCACTGGAGATAAGTTGAGGTCTGTGGTCCTTGTTACCACCAAAGGCCATGTAGATGGCTGTGGTCTATGCTGACACCTGAAGTCATGTCCATGTCTATGGCCTGTGCTGCCACCGAGGGTCATGATGGTGTCTGTGGTCTGTGCTGCAGCTGAAGGCCATGTTGATGTCCATGGTCTGTACTGCCACTGGAGACCATGCTGAGGTCCATGGTCTGGGCTGACAACAGAGGCCAAGTGGATATCTGTGGTCCATGCTACCGCCAGAAACCATGTGGAAGTCCATGGCCCATGTTGCCACTGACTGTAAAGAAAGGAAGGTACTTTTGCAGTGGCATTGATGACGGCAGACTCACAGTTGAGAAAGAGGGACACTGAAGGCTTCTGGGACAACCTCCCCCCAACAACACCCTCCCTCACCCCCACAAAGAAACAGTCCAGATAGGAAGCCATTGAAGAGAACTCTTAAAAATTGTGACAGGGGGGCTGGGGAGATGGCTCAGAGGTTAAGAGCATTGACTGCTCTTCCAGAGGTCCTGAGTTCAATTCCCAGCACCCACATGGTGGCTCACAACCATCTGTAATGAGATCTGGTGCCCTCTTCTGGAAGGCAGGGATATATGCCAGCAGAATACTATATATAATAATAAATAAATCTTAAAAAAATAAAAATAAAAATAAAAAAAATTGTGACAGGGATGCTAAAGTGTAGCTCTTCATAGTTGATGCCTTCTGGCAGGGGTTGGGGTGGGGAAGGACTCAGTTTTTTTTAAGGGGCTGGCTGCTGGCGTTTGACCATGCTACAGTGAGTATATGGAAAGCACAAATGGACTTGGGTTTTCTTTTTCCTTTTTTTTTTTTTTCTGGGAGGTCACAAGGTGGGGGCGGACCTGAAAGGACTGGGAAGTGAGTGATCAGGATGCATTATGTGAAATCCCAAAATAATCGATAAAAATATTATGCTGGAAGAAAGAATTCTTTTGAATTCTTTACTAGAATTTAGTATGTGAGGGTGACCCTGTCTCTTCCGGGCGCAGATTTCAGAGGGCATGGCCTTCATTGAGCAGAGGAACTACATCCACCGAGACCTCCGGGCTGCCAACATCTTGGTCTCTGCATCACTGGTGTGTAAGATTGCTGACTTCGGCCTGGCACGGGTCATCGAAGACAATGAGTACACAGCTCGGGAAGGTAGGCAACGCAGCCCTCCCGGAAGGGCTGTGAGAGCTGAGGGTGCACACCTGCGAGAGACTGGAAAGGGCCAAGATCTGTCCTCGACTAACTCCTGCAGCAACTTTGGCTGGTCCTTCTGCACAGTGCATTAGTGGGCAAAATACTCAACAAAGGCTACATAAGGAAGGCTTTAATTTGGCTTCTAGTTAGAGAGGACAGTCCATCCTAGTGGGTCAGTAAGAGTATACAACTGGTCACATCGTATCCACAGTCAGGAGGCAGACAGACAAATGCTGGTATTCAGCTCGCTTTTTTCCTTTTCTTTTTCTTTTTTTTTTCTTTTTCTTTTGTTTTTGTTTTTTGTTTTTTGTTTTTTCAAGACAGGGCTTCTCTGTGTAGCTTAGGAGCCTATCCTGGAACTTGCTCTGTAGACCAGGCTGGCCTCAAACTCAGAGATCCACCTGCCTCTGCCTCCTGAATGCTGGGATAAAGGCGTGCGCCGCCGCCGCCGCCGCCGCCACCACCACCACCGCCCTGTGCTTTTTTCTTTTTTGTGTGGTCCACAGCCCGTGGGATGGTGCTGCCCACATTCAGGATGGGTCTTGCCACCTCAATTAACCCTATTAGGAAGTCCTTCACAGACACAACCAGGGGCTCTTCTAGGTGATTCTAGATCCTGTCAGGATGATAATGTTAATGTCACACACGACTTGAAGAGGAACATTTCAGATCAGACTGAAGTGACAACTTCAGAAAATACAGGTAGTAGTGAGAGGTGAGAGTAACTTTATTCACAGGAGACAAAATCAGAGTGACCTAAATGTCCACAGACAGGGTGTGCATACCAACTGTACACTCACAGAGTGTGGCATCATACAGCAGTGGAAAAACCCACACCGGGGGCTGGAGATGACCCAGTGGTGGAGGCTTGACTGACACAGAAGGCCACAGGTTCCATCCCCATCACACCACACACCAGTGCCACCTGCAGCTAAAGGGGAGGCGTGACATCCAAATGAAAGAAGTGAGCCTAAACAGAGCAGATGCCAGGAGGTTCCACAGACAGGGAATCCAAAAACAGGCAAAAGTCATTTGTGAAGCTCATGGTGTTCTTCCTAATAGCCCCAGACTGAAACACCCTAACTATGCCCATCAGCTGATGAACAGATGAAGAAAAAGTCGAGTATCCATACCACAGAATAGTGTTTGTGATAAAATGGAATGAAGTGTTGAAAGGCGCTGCAACATGTACAAGCCTTGGGAGCATGCTCAGTGGAAGCCAGGCACAAATGCAGATATCTGTTACCCTTGGTATGAAACTCCCAAGTGAGACCAAGACGGCTGTGGAGGCTGAGTGTGGAGCAGTGGTTGCCTAGGGCTGGGTCGGGGCCTCGGGAGGAAGGGGTTCTGAGTGCTCGGGATGGGACTGGATGACACGTGATGAAACGGCCTAAAATTCACAACTCTTCCACTATTATGAAAGCCACTGGAGTACACACTTTAAATGTGTGGATTTTATGGCCTGTGAATGATATCTCATTAAAGCTGTAAAATTCACTTATACCGACAAAGCTGTGAATAGGGGCTAGCTGGAGCAGAGAGGTACTGCCTGGGAGGAGCTGGAAGGAGTCTTCTGAAAGGCTGCAAATGTTCTCTGCCTTAATCTGATGATGATCATGGGGCTACTCAGCTATCAACTACCAAGTTAGAACTTAAGTATCTGTAGACTTTAGTCAAGTCTAGAGGTGCAGGCTTGTAACCTCAGCTACTCTGGAGACTGAGATAACAAGTTCAAGGCCTGCTAAAGCAAGTTAATGACCCTGTCTCAAAATAAAAAGTAAAGGGGAAGTAGTTCTGTGGCAAGAGCACATGCGTAGCATATGCATTGTGCTAGACTCAATCCCTAGTAACACACACACACACACACACACACACACACACACACACACACACCATTCGATTTCTGTTATGATTGGATAAAGTTTAAACTAACTACAAAAATATAAAATGAAAAGTTGGATATATGATCTAAGTCTGTAGGGAATAAGTGAGATATGAAGAAAACTGTCTGGATATAAAAGATGGCAGCTGAGGATGTGGCTTGGTAATAGAGTAATGCCTACCAAGCATGTTCAAGGCTCTGGGTTCAAGCTTTAGTACCACACAAAGCAAAAGTATGAAATAAAGAAAATCACTAACTTAGAGTTAGAGCTGTAAATCCCAGCCCTCAGGAAGCTGAGGGTTATCATAAGTTGGAGCCAACCTAGAATATGTGGACCCTGCTTCTTGAAAAAAAAGGAGGGTTGGAGAGACAGCTCAGGGGTTAAGAGCACTGACTGCTTTTGTAGAGGACCTGTGTTCAGTTCCCAGCACCCACATGGTTGCTCACAACCATCTATAACCCTATTTCCATGAAATGGAATTTGTCGTTTGCCTAAATTGTTCTATTATTAATAACTCGGGAGTCAGATGTTGGGGTAAAAACCTGATAGAACAAGAAAGCAGCAGAAGAATGACCAGCTGACCCTGTGTCCACACTTCCCAGGTCAAAAGGGCCTGCGAATCTTTCTAAGCCCCTCCCTATTTCTTCCTGTGTCTCTCTATTATATCCTGTGTCCTCCAAAATCTCTATGGGTAATTCTGATCAGCTAGTCATTGACTCTGCCCCCTAATTCAAGGTTAACTTTATTAACAGTCTCAGAGTATCATAGTGTGGTCAAATATCCTGAAACATCTCCCTCTTTTTGTCTAAATAAAAAGGAAAGGTTTCAACTCTAACACAGTAAAACTATATACAATAAGAAAAATTATCAGGTACTGTCTAAATAAAGAAGAAAGGTTTTAACTCTAACATAGCAAAACTATATACAATACAAACAATTATCAGGTAAGAATTACATTGACAATATCCAGTCCATTTGTATTTAGTAAATTCAGAGAAATTGCTCTATTATCTATCCTATTTTGCTGAGTCCTAGACCACTTTCTATCATAACTTCTATTACCATCCTAAAAATATCCTTTTAGACCTTAAAACATTTTCTTAGATAAACAACTTCAGCTTTTATGTCTCTCAACCTTATAAACTTTACATCACTTTGTTTCTTTTCTGAATTTGATAACAAAGAAAATGGTGTAACTATCTATCTTCAACCCCTCAGAGACCCAAGAAGGATATACTATTACCCAAATAAACAGGAAGTACAAAGCAAACAACTTCCAAAACTATAGAAATGACAGGGCTGCCTGGCTGCCTGGACAGTTACCCAGGGTTCCTCTGTAACATTAGGGCATCTGTCTTTGACTTACAGGCCTAGGATATCTGATATACTTTCCTGGGAAGCAGGAATTTTGAAGGACTGTCCTACCTTGTCTTGGCAAAGTTTGGCAGTTATCTTCCTTTGTGTCCTGCTTGTCCAATTTGGACAGCATACTGTCAGCAAAAGCTGCCCAAATGGCTAGCTTTTGCCACAAAGAAAGCAAACTCCATATGGATGTTCTTCAATGCCCATCATCTTCTCTGAAGTAGATTGGTGCTGCCAGGAGTAGACATGTCTCACTGTCATGAAAAGTGTTATGGTATTAAAACATCTTAAATGCCATTTTTTGTAGGTCTCTGAATTGTTTGAAAACTATTTATCTATTTAAAATATATCTCTGACCTTGAAAACATACCTAACATGACTACAAGTTTGATCGTTATAGATGACTAACTACTAACCTGCATTTCTTAATTATTCTGAATAGTTTATAATAGCAGCTTTCAAGGACTATAGTTTCTTTTTAGTTTAAAAGTAAATTCAACAATCTAGACTTTTTTCCCATCATTCTTATATCCTCCCTTTTTTAATCTTTTCAAAAAGAGATCCCTGAATCTAACCTCCTTTGCTTAGTTTCCCCCCTGATTATGACCAATAACAACTTGAAACTAACCCCCCTAACTGATGATAAACATCCATAACCCACCAAACAACCCCCCCACCTCTTGGGAATGTGGGTGTCATGTTCTTAAAATTCCTTCCTGTCTGTCTGGGGGTGATGGTATCTTTAGGGGACCCTGAAAATTTGAGATAAAGGTCAAGTCCTGTTGTCTGGTCTTGGTGTGATGAGAACGTACAGGGTTTATCTCAAGTTCTGGCTGGAGTAGTCTCTGAGGCTGAACCATCTTAACTGCTTTGGATTGTCCTGAGAAGTTTGTAGTCCAAAGCTGATCTTTGGGTTGTATTTGTCAGTTTAGTGGCATTATCACAATCTAGGTGGATCTGTCATTGCAAGGCCCCATCATCTCCTTGGAGACCTCAAAGGTCACTGCCAGGGATGGTCATGGTTCACTGTAGAAAACTTAAACATTTTAAATGTCATATGCAGCAGATCTCCAAGAGGTTAAAGAACTACAATCTGTTAAATATATATGGGGTACACAAACTTAGTTCCTAGTTACTTGCTTCAGACTCAAGCCCAAAATGATGTAAGCTAGAAAAAGCTTATTTCTAGAATTAGTTAATATTCTATATGACCATTAATATCATGAAAGAAAGTTTAAATATATATATATATATACATATATATATATCTTATAAATTTTGAGATATTTATACCTTAAGAAAAGTATTAAATAGAAACCAAAGGATGATATTAATGGCAATAGAATAGTCCCATAAATTTTGTTTTCCTCTGTCCCATACCAGGTGGCTCTTGTGACATGAGACAGAGATTTTGGATTTTCCTTTAACCAGTGTGTGTGGGTTTAGAGAGGAAGAGAGCCATGCTCCAATTCCAAGGCCAGCTTTAATTTTTAATTGAATTGGGACCACAAAAGGACCTCTTGCATTATATGTCTGTGGAGAAGTTGCAATGTTAGGGAGCACTAATTCAAATTAGCATCGTGTGACAGAGTCCTGAGTGGCACAGGGGGAAGAAGGCCTCAGTAACTGGTGTTGGCAGTGACTCTGGCTCTTTCCACAGGCAGGATCCAACCCTAAGAGGAAGCATTAGAGTCAACATGGCAGTTTGGACTGCAGCAAGAGTCTGGGGCTACGTGTCCTCAGTTCCCTCCCTGGGTCCTGGTTAAATTGCTTTCTTCCCCTGATGTGGCTACTTCCATGATGAAGCCAGTTAGGTTTATTTGCACCCAGCTCTGAAAGGCTCCCATGCTCATGGGTGCTTAGGGTGATGTGTGCCTTGTGGACATTAAACCTTTAGAGATGGTGGCCTAGCTTCTCAGCCCACAGGGCCACTCTGGCCATGAAGCCAAATGCCCTGCTGAAGTCTTTGAAACTGAACTGCTTGAAGCTTTCTAGCTCTTTCTACCCCTCAGCCTGCTGTTTGGCAGCTTCTGGTCCTGCTCCTCAGCTTTCAGCCTATATGCTCTGCCAGCCATGATGAAGCATGGACAACAGGTGGCAGCAGAGAGTGATTGAGAGCTGGGCTATGATCTCCAAGATTGTGATTTTCAACATTGTGATGGTGCAGAAATAGTTGCATTCAGAAGAAATGATGCAAAGGTGGGCGTGGTAGCACATGCCTCCAATCTGGGCAATAGAAAGGTGGAGGCAGAAGGATCAGGAGTTCAAGGCCATCCTCTCTATGTAGTGAATTGAGGCCAGCCTAGGCTATGTGAGAGCCTGTCTCATAAAAATGAATGAATCAATGAATCAATCAGTCAGTCAATCAATCAATCAATATGCTCCCCCTTTGGATATTGATCTCTTTTCCAGTCTGGTGATAGGCTGTCCCCCACCCCACCCCAACACCCCCCACCCCCGATGATGCTAAGCCAGAGCAGTGAGCTACAGCTCTGATTTAGTCACCAGAGGAAACAACAAAGAAGCCATGATGTGAAGTTCCTGAACTAAGTGTTAAGTAAGCCAAGTGGTCAAGGTGTTTCTGACTTCTGGTTTTTGCCTTACAGTGGGTTTATCAGAGAATAATCCTAAATCAAGGAGCAGCTGCAGACCATGTTCACCAATGAGACTGTAATTAAGACAATACCCACAAACAGCTCACCAAATCCATCCTAGAAGGAAAGGAGGAGGAGTAGACAAGGAACATCCAGTGACTAGGTCCAACCTCGGGCAGCAACTGAAGTCCCCTCCTGTAGCCAGAAGTTTTCCTGTGTCCTGCAGCCACTCGGTCCCAAATAGAGGCTTATTATTAATTATAAACTGTTTGATCTATGGCTCAAGCTTATTACTAGCTCTCTGACATCTTAAATTAACACAACTCTTTTAATCTATATTTTGCCACATGGCCGTGACATTACCAGTCTGCTGGCATCTTGTTCCTTGGGCAGTTGGATGGTGTCTGCCCTGACTCTGAGCTTCTTCTCCCTGTCTCTCCACTTGGATTTCCCACCTGGCTTTTTTTTTTTTACAATACCATTCAGTTCTACATAACAGCCACAGATTCCCACCTGGCTTTTATCCTGTCTTACCATAGGCCAAAGCAGCTTTATTTATTAACCAGTGGGAGCAATATATATTCATAGCATACAGAAAGACTGTCCCACAGCATTTCCCCTTTTCTGTCTAATCAAAAAGGAAGGTTTTCATTTGAACATAGTAAAATTATATATAACAATACAGTTATCAGGTAAGAATTACAGTTAAAATATCTAGTCCATTTGTATTCGGCAAAATTAAAGAAAATATTCTATCATCTATCTTTGTGAGTCTGAAGTTTTATATCTAATTTACCTTTTATCGTAACTAGGGAAAATTATAATTATAATTATCTAATCTTCAACTCCATCAAAGACCCCAGAAGGCTATAATATTACCTAAGTAAACAGGAAGTGTATTGTAAACAACTTCTAAAATTGTGGAAATGACAGAGACATCTGGCTACCTGGAGAGTCATCCAAAGTTTCTCTGTAACATTGGGGCATCTATCTTCAGCCTACAGGCCTAGAGTCTCTGGCATATTTTTCAGGAAGTGGGAAATTTGAAGGCCTATTCTGTATAATGGCAAAGCTCATCAGTCACTTTCCTCTGTGTCCTGCAGAATGTCTGGCAGTTTCTTCTGCAAAGCAGGAACATGAAGGACCATTCCACCTTGTTTGGCAAAGTTCAGTGGTCATTTTCCTATGGGTCCTGCATGTCCAGTTTATACAACATACTGTCAAGCAGTCCAGGCAAGAGCAGTTTCTTGCCCAAATGGCTAGCCTTTTCTATATTGTAAGCAAACTCCATAACAAGTTTCTTTGATGCCCATCATTCTCTTTGAAGTAATTGGTGCTGCAAGGAGCAGACATATCTCACTGTCCAGAAAAGGATAAGTTCTTAAAATATTTTAAATTCCATATTCTGTAGACCTTTGAAGTATTTGAAGATAATCTATATAATTAAAATATATCTTTATATACCTAAAAACTTAACATGACTATAAGTTTGATTATCATAGATGACCATTAATTTGTGTTTAATATTACAATTTTAATGAGTTGCATAAACATAATACCTTAAACAAGAGCAGAAATATACATACAGTATAACAAAATAAACCTTAAATTTATTTTAATAAATGTAATTTATTAATGTAAAGTATTTTGAGATTAACAGTTGTTTTTTGGATTAAAGTAGATTTAATTTCCTACCTTTTTTCGTCATTTCTATATCATATCCCCCTTTAAATAAAAACAAACATTCATAAACAATATTTTGGAAATTTAGGCTTTCTATACTACTTCCTACTGATTGGGGGTCCTGGCAATATTCTGGGGATCCTGAGAAAATTTAGGATTATGGTCAAGTCCTGCCTGGAATCATCTATGAGGCTGCATCATCTCAGCCAGTTGCCTTGAAGCTGTTCTGGATGTTGGATCATCCACTGGAGACCTTGATGGAACCATATTAAACTGGAAGGAATCCACAGCTTCTCATCTTCTGTCGAAACAAAAGCAGAACCTCTTTTCCAAAGCAACATATCCTTAGACCCAAATTTTAAAATCAAAATACCCTTAAGATATAAATGTTGGTTTAACTTAGCAGCCCCTACAATCAAATGTCTCTCTGCAGTTAAAAAAAAGAAAATCCCAAAGACAACACAATTATATACAGTATTCAGACTCTCTGTGTATTTTCCATCTTCATTTGGCTTTTTTAATTTTTTATTTATTTTTATTTCTTTTTAAAGGACTTTATCCTTTTTCTTTCTTCTCCCAAGTCTATGTATATTTTTAAATACAATGTAACCCATTTAAAGGTTTTTTACCATCTGAATCTGTTTTACTGTGTATCTTTAATCCTTTTTTGACCCAGAGAGTTTTTAAACTGCTAAGTTATGGGGCTAGAACCCAAGTGGTGCCCTGGCTGCTGGCTCTGCCCTGTTCAGCTTTTCAACGTGGCAGAGTTACATTCACTGCCAATTCTGGGAAGCAGAAGGTCTATGCCACCATCAAGCAGCTTGTAGCACATTGCCCACAAACCCCATTTAAGTGTTCCATAGCAGAACCTCTGGAAAGAGCCATGAGTGCCACCAGCATGAACCAGGAAGCCATCTCTTAAAGGAGCCACACATCTGTTAGCCACCAACAAAAGAGCCTATCTGAAAAAATGCAGCTACCAAGAAACTGTGTTTGACTCATGTTTTTGTGAGTCTAGAATCCCTTTTTAAGCTTTTGTCAGGTTTTCTGCAGAAATTCCAGCCCCATGTTGGGCTCCAGATGTAGCCAGAAGTGTTCCTGTGTCCTGTAGCTGATTGGTCCCAAATAAACACATAGAGGCTTATTATTAATCATAAACTGCTTGGTCTGGCTCAGGCTTATTGCTAGCTTGCTCTGACATCTTAAGTTAACCCATTTTTATTAATCTATATTTTGCCACATGGCCATGGTGTTAGTGGTCTGCTGGCATCTTGTTTCTTGGGCAGCTGGATGGCATCTGTCCTGACTCCACCCTTCGCCCTGTCTCTCTGCTTGTATTTCCCATCTGGCATATTATTCCTGCCTTACCATAGGCCAAAGCAGCTTTATTTATTAACCAATGGGAACAACACATATTCACAGCATACAGAAAGACCATCCATAGCACTCTCCTGCACCCCATGGCTGGAGGGTGGGCTAAGATATCAGCTGTGAGCTGGACTCAAGCCCCCTGAAGCTCCTCCATCCCCAAGAACCTCTAGGATTCCACTTCCCAGAGTTATAATTCACCAAGTATCAGCCGAATCAAGGAGGTGGTCCCCAGAGCGAGCACCTGTATTACATCCCTATGCCCATTCCTCATTGCTTCAGCTGTGTATCCTCAAGATAGATGTCTCTTGATACCATGGATCTGGGAGGCACAGTGCAGGATCATCACTGTTTGCAGGGGGCAGCAGGTGTCCCTGTCCCGATTCCTCTACCCTAACGGAGTCCCAGCCCTCACAGGTCCCCAGATTCACCCTGATTCTGCTCTGTCTAACCCTGCAGGAGCCAAGTTCCCCATCAAGTGGACAGCTCCTGAAGCCATCAACTTCGGTTCCTTCACCATCAAGTCAGATGTCTGGTCCTTCGGTATCCTACTGATGGAAATTGTCACCTACGGCCGGATCCCTTACCCAGGTAGGGAAAGGGACCTGAGTTTAGGGGTGTGTCTAGAGCTCAACCTGGCCATGGTTTATCTTGTCAGCATGTCTATTAAGATCAGCTCTTGATCATCCCCCAACCTCTCTTCACCTTTCCCATTTCAATCAGAGGTACCACCACCCACCATTCCTCAGCCTGCACATAAAGGATCTGTTGGCTGTTTGGGTCGCTGTTTCATCTTTCACACACCCTATTGCTCCTAAGCAATCAGAGCTCAGAGCAGGAAGTGGATGAGAAGATCTGAAAAAGCCAGAACTGGCAGGGCCTGGGTATGGTGATGAATGTAGGTGTTTGCTAAAGTATCTAGGAAGCCATGAGATGGCATGGGGCTGGGAGGAAGTCAAATGATTTTTTTTTTATTTATTTTATTTTATTTTTTGAGACAGGGTCTTACGATGTAGCCCTGGCTGGCCTGGAACTTGCTATACAAACCAGGCTGGCCTTGGAGACCCATCTGTCTCTGCTTTCCAAGTGCTGGGACTAAAGGTGTACACCACCACACCTGGATGATTTCTCTCTTTGAGGTGTACGCTTGAGGCTGGAGAGATGGATCAAAGGTTGAGAGTACTTGCTACTCTTGCAGAGGATGGGGGTCTGGTTCCCAGTACCCATGTGGCAGCTCACAACTATCTGTCACTCTAGTTCCATGGGATCTGATGTCCTTTTCTGCTCTCCAAGGATACCAGCATATATATACACATGTACATATGCACATATGTATACAGAAAATAAAAACAAATATGAGGGGGCAGGCTTTGGTTCAGTGTGACTGGATGAGAGTGTGTGACCAAGGTGGCACCAGGCAGCAGAGATAAGCTGATGAACTGGGCCACATTTCAAAAGAAGGAGAGAGAGTCAAGGATGGCTGTCCTGGCACTGAAGGAGCTGTGGACATTTGAGTTGATGCACTTGGGGTGATATATAGACATCCAAGCAAGATGTTTAAGGTTTCTTTGTTTTTGTTCTTAGTCATTGACCCATCTCTTCAACAAACCCCCAAGTTAAAAAAGAAAACTAAAAATAAAAGTAAAGTTGGTGATCATAGGTATTTCGTGGTTGTTTTTATAGGTAACAAATGTAAACTTAAATAGAATAAGGAAATGATCCTATTCAGAGTGACCACTTGTTTTGTGGGTACACTAGTAAAATCCAGGCAGAGGATTACATGACTACATCCATTCAGATGCTTGAGGCTGCCGTTAACAAAACTAATGGACAGCCAGCGGTGGTGGCAGTGCACACCTGTAGTCCCAGCAGAGGCGGAGGCAGGTGGATCTCAGTGAGATTGAGGCCTTCTGGTCTGCAGAGGGAGTTCCAGGATCAGAGCTACACAGTGAGACCCTGTCTCAAAAATAAACAAATACAAGTGTTGGAGAAATGGCTCAGCCCTTAAGAGCACTGGCTGCTCTTCGAGAGCACCCAGGTTCAATTCCCAGCACCCACATGGCAGCTCACAACGGTCTGTAACTCCAGTTCCAGAGGATCCGATACCCTCATACAGATATACATGCAGGCAAAATACCAATGCACATGAAATATAAATAAATAAACAAACAAACAAATAAATAAATGTAGATAGATAGATAGATAGATAGATAGATAGATAGATAGATGATAGATAGATAGATAGATAGATAGATAGATAGATAGATAGATAGATAGATGATTGTTATATTTGTTTGTGTTCTGACAAATTACTCTTACCTAGAGATAAGAGAAGCAGAGACCATCCTGTCTCTACCCCCCTTATATTCCTGTCTCCACCTCCCTAGTGCTGGGATTAAAGGTGTGTGCTACCACTGCCTGGCCTCGATGGTTAACTGGTGGCTAGCTCTGCCCTCTGATCTCCAGGCAAGCTTTATTTGTCAGAACACAAACAAAATATCCCACAACAAATGATAGGTAAAATGACGACCAACAGTGGCAGAAACAGTAGGTTGGTTAATACTCTGCCTCCTGTGAGATCTGGCATAGCTTGGTGGCTGGACAGCTATTAGGACTCAGTTTCCATATCTTCCCCAAACAGTCAGATGGTGACTGCAGCTCCATTTGCCCCTCCCACACACACACTAAATTCCACACCTCTTTCTCAGGCATGTCAAACCCAGAGGTGATCCGCGCATTGGAGCATGGGTACCGGATGCCTCGACCGGAGCACTGCCCAGAAGAGCTCTATAGTATCATGACCCGATGCTGGAAGAACCGACCAGAGGAACGGCCCACCTTCGAATACATCCAAAGTGTGCTGGATGACTTCTACACAGCCACTGAGAGCCAGTATCAGCAGCAGCCTTGATGGGCAGGACATGAGCAGAGCCACGCCCCAGGAGTGCCTGTGGCATGCTTAACCTTCTGGGCTCACTCCCAGACACCAACCCCCACTTTACACACTCCAGCCACAGATTCTTCAGTTGTCGAGTGGGTGGGGTGGACTTCACAGTCCTTTTTTGACTCTAGTCATCTGCAATCTGCCGTTCTCAGGGACCCCAAGTTGGTATTTCTTATTTGCCTGAGATGATTGAATTCAAGCTATAGCTGTGGTTTAAGTGGGAAGCTTAAAAATAGTATTTAAATAAAGATGTGAATGTCAAAGGCTTTTCCCAAAGGTCAGCTTCCCTGTTCCCAAATGTCTATTTGCCTCCTTGCTGTGTGACATTGTCAGAGAGAAGAAGGACCTTCCCAGAGGCCACAAGTATGAAGAAATGAGAAAATGGGGGGGGGGGGCGCTCAGTCAGCAAAATGCTTGTCCTACAAGCACAGCGACCTGAGTTCAATCTCCAGAGATCATGTAAAAATGCTGGGTGTGGTGGTGTGCATTTGTAACCCCTGTGTGTGTGAAGGGGGAACCAGAGGATGGATGTCTGGGACTCAGTATCCAGGCAGTCTAGCCTAAGTGGTGAGTTCCAGGTCAGTGAGAGACTCATCTCAAAGGAGACCGATGGCATCTTGGAGAATGAATGACACCTGAGGTTGCCCTCTGACCTCTACATACATGTACACACACACACACACACACACACACACACACACACACACACACACACACACACACACACCTACCTATGCATAAGAAAGGGAAAGATTAGAAGCAATACTCAAGCTTTTCTAACCATCCTAAAATACGTGCTGGCTCGACCAGCTCCCTTTTGTTTCCTTAACAAATCTCCCAAGCTCAGGTGGCTGCAAACAGCACATGATTATCATGGCTCAGTGGGGAAGCCAGGAGTGCCAAATGGGCTGGGCTGACAGGGCTTTGTTGCTCCCGGAGATTCAAGGAGAGGGATTCCTTCCTTGCCTTCTCTAGCCTCCAGAGGCTGCCCTCTCCTGTGACTCAGGTTTCTGCACACCACTCTGAGCTCTACTTCCGTCTTCTGGTCTCCCCTGCATCTTCAGCTGCTGCACCCTCTAAAGTAATCACACTGGACTCACCTAAATAAGCCAGAATAGTCCTTCCAAGTAATGATCCTTAATCACATTTGCCAAGTCCCCTTCGCCAGGCAGCCTTTGAGGGGCCATTTCTCTGCCTACTACACTGGTGCCCAGATGCTTATGGTTTTGCCTTTCAGAAGCTGGGTCTGTCAGGGCACCACATATGGTTTCTCTCCTGTTGAAGCCATACTGATCCGTGCGCTAGACCTCCCTCGGGGATGGTGGCCATTTCCCATGGCCACACAGCCGTCATGATTGCTAAGATGGTCTTCATCACTGCAGGAGATCTTGGGTCTGAAGGGGGGACTACTGAGAAGAGGACCTGGTACTTTGTAAGGGATGCTCTTGGTGGCCAGGAGGGAGACCTGACAGGAAGTAGAAAGGACAAGAAGGTAGTAAACACTTTCTGCATTATCACCTCCGCTAAAAGTTCTTGGCAGTCAGCTTTTGTCATGGGGAGAAGACAGGGCTGGTGACAGTGGGATAGAGCGCAATGACATTCTGTATCACTGCATCTTCCAAAGGTCCTACATCACAGCATCCCCTAGTGTCACATGAAACCCTGAACTTACCGAAGCCAGTCTGCATCATCACTCAGGAGCTCATGGGTCTATCCTTAAGAACTGGGTCTAAGAACAGTGGAGACTAAGGTGAGCTGGCTTTTAATCTACGTTCTTGGGAGAGAAACAAAGTGACTGTTCTCCCCATTTTCACACTACAACCAACATTTCTCTGAGCATGAAAGGTGCAGAGAGCTCTCCTGAACAGCTGCCCTACAGCAAGGGTCACCCACTGGGAGGGGTATCCTTTCTTCCAACTCAGTTCTGACCCTAACTAGCTGGAGGTACTGTCAGATCCCACAGGTTGGGGGCTCAGTCCCCACGACTTCCTCCCTTCTGCCTTAGATGCCAGATGAAAGGGGCAGGTTGTTTTATGCCAGGCTCCCCACGGCTCCCTCCTAGGTTCCATTAATTTGCTCAAGCTGCTCAGGGGACTCAGGATGAGAATGAGGTTTTACTGTTTTATCATAAATGATACAACAAAGGGAAAGATGACAAAATGCACAGTGGGAAAGGGGCCACGTGGCACTTCCGTGTCCTCTTTAGACCTGCCACTCCACAGAAATCGCCACATTTCCACCTATCTGGGAGCTCTCTGAACCCTGCCCTTTGGAGTTTTATGGAGACTTTATTGCCTAGGTGTGATTGCTAATAAACTGGGTGGGAAAACCCAGCAAGGCCTGTCTTCGATTTGTGTGTGTGTGTGTGTGTGTGTGTGTGTGTGTGTGTGTGTGTGTGTGTGTGTCTGTCTGTCTGTCTGTCTGTCTGTCTTCTCTACGGGGCTTTCCTACCTTCAGGGTATGGGTTAGGATCCCACTAGAGTGAGGAGGCCCTTATCACATACTACACAACAAGAGTCTTGAGTCTTTATGGCCAGCTCCCAAATAGAAAGGCAGGGGGATGATAAGAGTTGCTATGACCTACTTAGAAAAGACATAGTTTAGCTTTTATAGATTTGAGGAGGGAGTTATAAAGTGGGAAGCGTGGACAAAATCTAAAACCAGCATCACCGATATATATCTATAGATATAGATATAGATAGATAGATATAGATATATGCCTACATGTGTATCTCATATTTATAATACACACACACACACACACACACACACACACACACACACACACACACACCCCACAACTTACCTCGTCTGTAACCTAATTGATTGCGCTCTTGCTTTATGGTTTGGAATACATACTTTGGAGTCTGAAAGCAAAGCCCAGGATCTTACTCACAACCTTGCAATAAAAATCGGTTCTCTTTCCAGTCAGTCATCCATGCGAAGAGCACTCGTCCCTGTCCCGCTGATGTTGAGCTCGGCCATGAGACTTGTTTCGGCCAATGGAACGTTAGCAAAGGCAAAGGAAACAGGTTTAGAATGTTGTTTCTGGTCTCACCCTCCAGCCTTCTTCCTGATTAGAATGTGACCTAAGGAAAAGGAGAGACAGGAAGAGCAAACCTGGACCAGCCTTCAGGCTAGCACCAAACCCAGCCGAGCCCAGTCCAGGCTGACCCCCAGCTGGTCCTCAGACATGTGGAAGAGAAATAATTATCATGAGCTATGCTTTCAGGAGCTGTTTTGTTACATGGATATTATGGTAATGGCTGACTAAGACAGGCCCGGCTTCATTTTCTTAACAATTTGTCCTTTGCAAAATTTTAAATTACTGTTTTTGAGACAGGGTCTCACTGTGTAGCCCATGTCCTGATCCTCCTGCCTCTGCCTCCTGAGGGCCAGTTTTTAATTTTTAAACTTATTTATTATTTATTGCAGGGAGTTGACATGTGTCGCAGCACTCATGTGGAGGTCAGAGGGCAGACTGTGGAAGTTGGTCCTCTCCTTCCACCTTGTGGGTTCCAGGGTTGAAGCAGGCTTGGCAGCAACCGCCTTTACCCGCTGAGTTATCTTGCCAATCCCAGTTTGTAATTGTAACGACGTGCAGTTAACCAAAACACACTGTGTTGGGGGCTAGACAGCCGGTTAAGAGCTTACTGCTCTTGTGGAGGACCTGGTTTAGGCTCCTAGTCACAACTATCTGTAACTGCAGGTCCAAGAAATTGGATGCCCTCTTCTGGCCTCCTCAAGAATGGCAGCCATATGGTGCACCAGCATGCAGGCAAAACACACATACATATAAATAAAATCCTTAAAAAATTGTGTGTGTGTGTGTGTGTGTGTGTTTTCGGGTAGGGACACACCACAGCAGCACACATACTGAGGTCAGAAGACAACCTCAAGTGTAGGTCCTCACTTTGACCTTTCACCTTATTTGAGACAAGGTGTCTTGATGTTTTCATCTCTGTGCCAGGCTAGCAGCCCTGAAAGCTTCCACAGACTCTGTTTCCATTTAGAGGGGTGCTGGGCTACTGATGCTTGCACCTACTTGCATACAGCTACTTATTCCGGGGGGAAGGATGTGGGACAGGGTCTCACTCTGTAGACTAGGCTGGCCTCAAACTCACAGAGATCTGTCTGCCTCTGCTTCCCTGGGGTTAGAGGCATGCCCACCATTCCTGGCCCATGTCCAGCTTTTTATGTGGGCTCTAGGGATCTGAACACAGATGAACTCAGTCTGTCAGGCTTGCATAACAAACCTGCTTGGGCTACATAGCAAATGTCAGGCCAGCCTGGGCAAAAGGGAAGAAAGGAGAGAGACAAATCCTAAGCTTGAAGAATATGTTCAAAACATGTATCTAATGGAGGACTAGTATCTAAAATATGCAAAGAGTTCTCATGATTCAATAAGAAAACAACTCAATTTCAAAATGAGCACGATTGGAAAAAGCTCCTCCTGAAAGGCACACAGACAGCAGATAAGCATGAGAAAGATGTTCTACATCATGTGTCATTGAGGAGACAATAACTAAAATGACAAGAACACACTTAGAGTGACTGAGACTCCAAATGCTGAGGACACCAAACCCAGCTGCAGGACACAGTCGCTCAGTGCTGCAGGAACTCAGGACCTCACAGTCACTTGTGAAGATGACCCAATATTTCTTCTACAAAATTAAACAAGCTCTTAACTGTATGAGTCATCAGCTGGGTATCCTGCTGTTTTGCATGAGTCGAAGATGCGTGTCCACACAGGAATCCACAGTCAGAGCAGCTTCCCTCATTGTTACCAAAGCAAGCAGATGGCCTTTCAAAGGGGAATAAGGAAACTCTGTAATGGATGATTAGCACTAAAAAGAAATCAGGTATTAAGCCACAAAAAGAGAGAAGGGAATCTTACGAAATTCCTGGAAGAAGCCAAGTTGGTTCTGGGGATCTCAGTGGTCGAGCCTTTGCCTGGCATACACAAGGTCCTAGGTTCCACCCCCAGTACAACGGGGTGGGGGAGAACCAGTCTGTAAAGGCTACCCTCTATAGATCTCAGCTACATGACATCCTGAAAATGGAAAACCTTGGGGACAGTTGCTAAGAATTTGAGAAAAAGAATCGAGGAACAAAGAAAACACAGGTAGTTTTTAGGGCAGTGAACTGTTCTGTACGGTACCATAGCATAGGCTACTTACCAAGTAAGCCTCTGTCAGAACTCATCGAAAGTACGTCACAAAGAGTGGACCTGCCGGGCGGTGGTGGCGCACGCCTTTAATCCCAGCACTCGGGAG